ATATATAAATGGCATACACTATACCATTTCTGCCTCGGAGCCAGCTAAGCATGAACTGAATCCTCTGAAACCATGAGCCAAAATAAACTCCTTCAAGTTGCAGATGTTAGGTATTTTGTCCCAGTGACAAGAAAGTGACTAATACCCTTCTACTCTAAGAATTGCTGTCAGCATATGACCACCTGGACTTGTTTTGAAATATATCTCCTCTTCTGTTGTATACACTAGTAAGACTGATGGTATTTTGTTGCTAAGTTCTGTACATAATTAAAATGAGTACAGTAAGTTCCCAACTTATGAACATTCAAGTTGCGAACTCTCACAGGGGTACTGTTTAAGATTCACTTTGTCAGATTATGAATGAATACAACTCATGAATGTTCTCCCACAGTGAAACTCATTTGTAAGTTGGGGACTTACTGTAATCCTATAAGGAAAGGGGATGAAAATACCATTTACTCAATGACAGAGACTATTATAGAAGCACCCAACAATATCCTAGAATGCACTCCCACAGAAAACAAAATGGAGATTAGAAGTCAAGAAGAAAAATTCACCCTTTCTCAGTAACAAACTACAGCCAGAAAACAAAAGAGCTAGAGTTGGAATGAAGTTGCAGTGGGTGGAGAATACTAGGCAGCCAAGGATTTCAGAATTTGGAGGTATTATGAGACGGAAAGAAAAGAAAAAAACCACTGTAATCAAATAAAATCAATCAGCTGGGCCTTCACTTGGGGATATTCTGAAACTTAAGTAATACTTGTATCCTGTCCTTGGGGTAGGCATAATTCTAAAGTAACCCCATGATTGGTCTCCTGCCTTTGTAGGTAGAACCTGTGAAATATTTCTTTCCAAAGGAGCAAGGAAAAGACATGGCACTCACAGATCCAGCTACATTATAGAAGACCCCACCTGGGCCTACGAGAGAGATGTCTTGCTGGCTTTAAAGAAGTGAGCTGCCATACTGTGAGGCGGCCAATGCAGGAGAGTTCTGCCAAAGACGTAAGGCAGCCTCATGGTGGATCTTTCCCCAACTGAACTTTGATGAGACACAGCCTTGTTCCACATGTTGATCACAGCCCAGTGAGACCCTGGATCCAAGCCCTATCCAGACTCCTAACTTACAGCAAACCATTAGATAATCAAAGGGTGTTGTGAGAGACTACATTCATGGCGATCTGTTAAGAGCACAGACTACTAGCACATCTTTCCTTCATATACCATCTGGTAGGATCAAAAGGGAAGGGTTCGAAGAAGGCTTCAGGGTGTCAGGCCTTCACTTTACCCTTACCTCTGGAGAATATACTCCAGCTCCTCATCTGTACCAGCTGATACAGAGAAGCTAAAATTCTCCCATCTCTGTCACAACCTTTCCAACAATCCCCACCCCCACCCACCCTGTAAACAGCCTGTCAACAAATACTCTGGAGTTGGGTTAGAAAGTAGGCTGAAGAGAGCCACATGTGCTCTGTAGCAGCCAGAGGCTGTCTGCATTGCCCCATATTTCTTTCCTTTCACCAAGAGTTTTAAACGCATCTACCAGTGGCAGGTGACAAGAACCATGCTCCACCACCTACTGGCAAAGGTAACAACTAACTGGAAAGCAGCCTGCCAAGTGTGCTTGGGGCTGTTGTCCAGGAACCAGGCTTGCGAAGGCGTGGGATGACAGTTAGGGGTACAGGGAGGAGATGCAGGCAGCAACAAGACTGCTGGGTAGAGCAGACTGACCATGGAGCTGCCAACCACCCCAGGATCATGGGTCCTCTCCAGTGTTATTTCTGATTTGGGTCTTGTCCCAGTTATGAGAGTTGAAACCTGTATGTCCCTGCCTGGACACCAGAACTTCCTTCCCACATGTGTGAACAGCACATAGTCCCTGTGCAGGGCCTTTGGTGCACCCTTCCTGCTTCTCTGAGCACAGGGTGGATGGCAGCCTACTACTGGGCTACCAAGGTGGCAGGAGGTAGCAGGTAGTCCCGAGGAACAGCTGCCTCTGGAGTGATGTTCTTAACATGAAGGACCAGGATGGCAGCTGCCACAGAAAGATACTACGATCAGGGCATGTGAGGGCTGCCAGCCTGTGGTCAGCTGGTGGAGCCAGAGTTATGTGGGGGCCAGGGCCCAGGGAATGGTGTTCTCAACTTTTAAAACCTGCCAGGAAAACTCACCAGAGAGCAATTCTCAGCCCTGGTGACTGGGTCATCCTTGTCTACCTAGAACAAGTGAGGGAACAGTATCCCCATCTGGGCGACAGTGTCCCCATGGGGGGGGTGCCACTCTCTGAGGGTGCACAGAGGAGGGGCTGGTCCTCAGGCTTCCCGGCCAGGCCCCTTAGGTCAGCCCTCCCTGGCATGGGCATGAGCACCGTGGGCCTCCAGACAGAGGTTCGCTTGGCCTGGAAACAGCTGGGCTTATGTCAGTGGCTTAGGAAGTGGCCAAAAATAAGGAGGGCCAAGGATTTAGCTCAGTGGTTCTGCCAACTGCCCACAAGCCCAAGGTGCCGAGTTCAATGCCCAGTACCAAAAAAAAAAAAAAAGGTGGGGGAGAAAGGTAAGAAAAGAGCTGATAAAGAAGAGAGTTCAGCTGTGGACAGTAAGATTCTGGAGTTTTTTTCTTTTCTTTCTATAAATGTTCATATACTACAGTATTTACCACCTGACATATAAGCTTCTACAATTTTAGAAATAATCAATTTGTATTGAATTTCTATGTTGTATGAGTTCTAAAAGTTCCTCAATACACTGGAAGCTTTAAAAAAATGAAATGGGAAAAAGATGTCACTTTTACAATTGTAGATGACTTGGTGTTTGTGGAGTTGGGGAAGTATCTGGCAGCTCTGACCCTTCCCTCTGTCTTATCTGTCTTAGGCAACCCACTGCCCATGTCCTCCTGCCCCAACCAGTTCTTTCTCTCCTTCCTGAATCCCCGGGGCTCCCAGCTTATCAGGCAGGGGAGATCTATGAATCTCCCATCAGTTTCCCTCTTTCCTTTCTCCAGCTGATTGCTCTTTTCACATTATCTCTGTCCTCACTTATGCTCAAACCTCATAGGGTAGTAGTTTCTTCACCGGTTAAAATGTCACAGTGGGTCCCGGAAAGTATCGGCGCCTCTCCTGGGAACTCTCAGCACCTGAGCACAACTATCAATATTTATGTAGGACTTCACTGTGCCCTGGGCACTGTTCCAACCTTTGCCATGAATTCTCTTCCTGAGCAGAACCCAGGAGGCTGCTGCTGCTGCAGCTAGTAAGTTAACGTCACAGTTTTACCAAGGAGACACTGCTGAGGCACAGACATTGAGTCACCCCATCAGGGTACCATGCTGCTGAGCACGAAGTCAAAGTCTGGGCTCTGGAGTCGGGAGTTGCCGTGTGCGGCTTAATGAGCGCACTCCCGGGAAGGAGTGCACCTCGAAGCCTGCTGAAGACATGAGTGTGCGACGGTGTGCTGGCCGATGAGGAGGCGGACCAGTCCTGAGTACACAGACCGGAGCATGGACGTGTCCAGCCTTGCTGGAGACAGTCTAGCAACAGCTACCAGAAATGAAAAGCATATGTGCTTCGACCCCAGATTTCACTTCCAGGGAGTCAGTGTGCGAGGGTATTCCTACCAGCACAGCATCACAGCCAAGAGCTGGAAATGACCAAGTACCCACCTACGGAGGGTAAAGCCTATCCATACAAAACAATATTATTACAATTATCAAAACAGTGATAAAGAGCCCAAACATGTTCATCTTCAAAAGGAAAAAGGGAGGTGCAAAAGTGTAAAATATACTTGTTTTTTGTTTTTGTTTTTTTTCAGTTTTTTGAGACAGGGTCTCACTAAGTAGTTGAAACTGACCTAGAACTCACTATGTAGCCCAGGCTGGTCTCGAACTCACAATGATCCTCCTGCCTCAGCCTCTGGAGTGCTGGGATGACAGGCGTGCATCACCATGCCTGGCTTATAAAAACATATTTGTATTTGCATGTATGCCTATAAAATATTTCTTAAAACATACACAAGAAATCTGCAGCGTCGACTGCCCTCGGGAAAAGGAGATGGAAGAGGGACAAAGGCATGATATATCCTTTCGTGATTTCGGATTTTCAAGTCATGTGAACGAACTGGCTATGTAAAAAAATAAAAAATGCATGGGGCTCTGCGTACACTCTTTTGGAGAGCCAGGTTTACATATGGCACATAGGTCCCGCCTGTGCCTAGAGCCTGTGGAAGCTAAGCTACTGATCCTAACACCAACATTTCTACAGGAAAATGTGTTCAAAAGTAAAGCCTGCATGTGAGTGTGTGGTCATATAAAGACCTCAGAGAAGGCTGAGAACCCATCCCACCTGAGCGTGGCAAAGGGATAGGTAACTT